AACACCCAATTCATCGGAACTTACTAAATGCATTTTCGTTTGGCAAATTTAATGTACAAACACATACAAAACAGCCATGTATATTTGCGATTGTACAGCTAAGAAAATGAATTCGCCAAAAAGAGACTCTTCCCTGAACTACTGGTCTTCCGTCTATTAATGTTCGAATGGGGATTTTTCATGAAATAAATGAAATTCGTGAAAGTTCTAGTGAATTGAAGCAGATATAGCACACAAGGCAGCCCGATTACTTCATTCGATATTGTGCGAACCGAAAGATCCAACAGAAATAAGATCCAGCTATATATATATATATATATTTATATATTTCATATCAATGCATGTAGACAATTATGGACATCAGTTTGATTGGGACAACGTCAAAATCTTAGACAGAGGAAACACCAAAAGTGCCAGGGAATTCCTAGAAGTCTGGTACTCAAGCGAATATGCGATTAACAAACACGTTGATATAGACGAAATATACCAACTAATAAAAAGTAAATCATGTGATGAGAAAGTTCGAAATCCAAGTCAATGAAAAATGATCAATACGGATGTAAAGATGGTTACCGGGAGACGCAATTCTATCACTAAAAGAGAATTTAAATCAGTTCAGTTTATGTTAAATTTACACTGAAAATGTCCAGAAGGACGACGACAGCTCCGCACCCAAACCAACCAGCTCAAAGAAAACTACTAATTACAAATTAAGATGTATTTATTGAAAAGACAGAATTATGCTGGTAATAGTACTGGCAAGACCTACGCCGAGTTATTTTTCTGTTGTTTAAGCATTTATAAATCATTCTGATAGCTAGCAGGTATGATTCATCCAGCAAATTCAACATTAAAACAAAATAAGAACCAGATAATTTAACCGATGAAGTTAGTGACTCAAAGAGGATCGTTTCTTTACGTCTCCTCTTACATTTACCATAACAGTAAACAGAGGCATCCTTAATAATTAATTTGACTGTTATTCCATATTTGCATGATGATAACAACTGTCTTCGCTCCATACTGAAGATTAGATGGCCAGAAAGAATCACAAACAAGAAGCTATGGGAACAAACGAAACAGGAACCAATCGCCCAACAAATATGCAGGAGGAAGTGGAGATGGATTGGACACTCGCTGAGGAGGCCGTTGAGTGACATCGCGCGTCAAGCCCTCGAGTGGAACCCGAAAGGGAAGCGGCGAGTGGGACGTCCAAGGGTGACATGGAGGAGATCGTGTGAGGAGGAACTAAAACAGTATGGAATAACATGGACGCAAGTGAAAAGAACAGCAGAAGACAGAAGCAAGTGGAGACGTGCAGTTGAAGCCCTATGTTCCACTAGGAACCCAAGGGAACAATAATAAATAATAACATATTTTAATGATCAGTACACAGGTTTGATCGTGAGTTGACATCAGTTAAAGAACCACTGCGAAACAAATAGGAAGTACTGGACAGCTGTTTCATCCTCGTTTGGGAATCTTCGGGAGTATCCGCCCCCTGGGGTTCGAACCCAGGGCCTTGCGGTTACAAGTCGAGCTCGTGAAGTTCGAACCCCAATGGGTGCGTACTGATAAAGAGTCCCAAACTAGGCGGAAAAAGTAGGGCTGTCCAGTACTCCCGACTTGCTTTCCAATGGTTCTCTAACACCTAATGGCAACACGTGATCAAACTTATTACCAATCAAATCCCTGCTGCAAACCAACACGTAATAATGATAATTTTATCTATCTCTGCTTGCATATAGCTCCATTTTCACTTGATCCCACAGCTGTAACCTGACTTTTACTTACTTTCAATTCATTATACAGGCGATAGGCTGAAAAAAGAAAACTATTTTGAGATAAACGAATACGCAGAAATTAACTGATTCTGTGACTTATCCATCAGGTTTGATGCTATAAAACAAACGACTCAACAAATTGGATATTTTGACTTGATTCGAACCAGATAAGTGATGGATATTACTATATAATTGGCAAGAAATAGTGCATACGAGGAAAATGACGTTAAATTTCAGTATTAAACCATAGTTAAATACTCAAGACACGAGTTTTTGAGAAGAAATAAGCAATTACAGCTACAGATGACTACGTTACTACTGCCGTTGATTTATTGTATTTCGTCAATTCCGGTATACTTGGAAACTACTGGAATATAACCGCTCAAAGGTAACTAGTGATACTTAAGTATAAACTTCTGAAACAATAGCGAAGATTTGTAGCTCAGGTGGATGGTTTTCACTTAGTTGTGTTCTCTCTGAAGGGCTGGTTGATATGAGACTGCGAAGCTTTCGTTACTCCCCATCTAGGCAACATCTTCAGCGCAGGCTCTAGTATGATCAATAGATATGTAAATTAACAACCAATCCCAACAATAGTTGTCAAGACATACAATTATATCATCAGTCACAGAGAATTCAGATAAGTTTATTTCATACAAAAAACTTGATGTGAAGATGTCTAGAAGGTGGACAAGGAAAGCTTTGCAATGAAATCGACCAGCTCCACAGAGAACAAAACTAAATCAAAAAGCAGGAAAATTCTCTTCATGAACTTTCTCATAAGTCAGTTAGATATATTTAGCAACTTTTATATAGATTATTACCTCACTAGAAAATGACTTACTAACAAGATTTAGTGAGGTGATATCGTCATTTCAGGTGAAGACAATTATAAAATGAGGTGAAAATCCTGGGTATCATCCATGCGCAGTTCATTATTCACAGATGTAACATAATTCAACAGAGCTGGTACACATAACGGCTTCTAGTTCAAGGATAGAAAGTGAAATAGTTGTATATGGGGAGGAGTTGCATTCGCCTTGGTGGACCGGTTAGTGACGAAGCCATCCATCGTCTTCCTCGACCGACGGACAATGTTAGCTTTGCTGACAGGATGGATCAGGTTGGAAATGAGTTAGCTAGCATGTGGTGGTCAAACGAAAACACGGCTTCATCAGTCAATCAAATCTGTGACAACAGTTAGTTTAAACCAGGCAGTCAGACAGCAACATAGGTAGGTGAAGACTCTGGCTGATTATGGTCCTCAAGATGGCAAGAACCAGTGGAGGCTGTAGGCGATCGGTGGTGATATGGCTTGCTCAAAATCGTCGTTACCAATGGATGGCATCGATACATTCAGTACTTGTGATTTGTTACATAGAATAAAACTCTATTCTTCTGCCATATTACTATTCTTTTCCCATCATTCACACTTGTGTTTATTATAGCTAACTCTGTTGAGTCTCTCTTCGCTTGCTTTGTGTGCTACGTGGGAGGAGGGAGAGTGGCAACTCGAACTGGTGTACACCTGTGCAAAGTTCTAAATTGAAACCAATCGGTCAGTCACAGGTACGCACACCACTCCACCTACCACCGAGGTTTATGCAGCCACACAGTATCGTTAGCAGCAACACAATAGGTTTGACTTGTCGCCAGTTGTATTCAATTGCAAATGGGTGTTGAGTAAAATTCCTGTTTTTTTCATTTCATTGATATGCATCTAGACAGTCATTGCAAAGTATTTTGTAAATTATATTATTTTGTCTAATTGGGTCCACCGGGTCTTTTAGCCTACAAAGCTTGTCTCTAAGTGAGTTTGTAGGTTTAAATGCTACCCTAATTAATGCTTTATTCAGAATCCTATGTAGGGTCTCAGATGTCCCCTCCTTATATGGTATAACAGTAGATATTTTATATTCTCTCTTATTTATTTTATCATTACTAGTTTCACAATTATTTTTATTTTGGCCTTTTCTGATCTTCCTAATGAATTTTATAGGATAGTTATTTGATGCCAATGCTTCTCTTATGTTTTATTTCATCATTTAGGTTTTTTATTCTGTTACTTAGTGCTACTGATCGGTTTGTTAGACACTTAACTAAGCCTGCGTTAACAGTTAACGGATGACATGAATTAAAGTCTAAATATCTGTTAGAATGAGTTGGTTTTTTCATAAACGCTAGTGTGCAGTTTACCTTCTATTCGTTTTTATTTTACAATCTAACATAGCTAGTTCTCTTTGTTTATTTTCCGATTCAAATGTGAATTTTATTCCCTCTACAAGTGACTTTATATGTGTCAAGAAGCTAGAGATATATTCTATTTTAACACTGTGAAAATGTCATCCACCTGATTCGGAATTTAAACACCAATCTTCAGTCATTTCCTCTATATGGGTGAGGAACTTGACGAATGCGTCACGAGAAGCCTTCTCAACAGGTTACTGCAGACGTCTATCAACAGCTGCCCGCTTCGCTGGCTCCATACTGAAGATCAGATGGTTGGCCAGGAAGAATTAGCAACAAGAAAGTCTGAGAACTGACCAACCAAGAACCTCTTGCTCAACAAATATCCCGAAGAAAATGCAGGTGGGTCGGACACACGCTGAGGAGACCGTCGGGTGGCATCACACGCCAGGCCTTCGCTAGATTGGGAACCGGACGGGAAACGGACAAGTTGGGCGTCACTCCGAGGGTGACATGGAAGAAATCATGACGAGATGAGAGCTTATGAGCGATTGTGGAGCCAACCAGCTAAAGAGGACCACAGAAATAGAACAAAGTGGAGATGTGCCGTTGAAGCCGTATATTCTACTCGGGACCGAAGGGAACAGTGATAGTGATAAACATGCATGTAGGTCAGCGACATGCTGTCCCTCTACTTTTTGTTAACCTTTCGTACGATGGTATACTGGAAAGCTTTAACACAGTCTACCTGGGAACTTCGAACCACACATCCTGATAACACACAAGGTACTAACTCCATTCGTAAACAATTGATAGTGATGATGAGTAGCACATATGATGAAACCAGTCGACAACTGTCACATGGGTCTTACCTGTGTTCCAAATAAGCTGAAAACAAATAATAAACAATAACAGTATTTACTCTTTGTTGCCCTAAATAAACCTCCGAATCGTTAGACTGACTGAGAGGGCTACAACCAAGAAAGCCCATGTTTTCATGAAAAAATCCCAGTTTAAGGTGAAAATGTAATCGTCACAATTTTTCACCTACACCATCTAGCAAAATGATATCAATATTATCACAATACTGAAAAGAATTCACACTAAAAATCATCTAACCATTATGATAAAATATTATATTATTTCCTTTATTAGATTTTGAAAGCTAATGGCAGAAACATACGAACGGCAGTGCGTCATTTAGAAAACCCCGATATGTACATTTTTAATATCAAGAAAGTAAATCCTCGGAAAAATCAAGATTGTTGTTTAACATAATTCACTTGGTTAATTTGCATGATTATTACGGTAGCAGTGAGGACAACTGAGCTTTTTGCGTGGTTGACAGACTATCTGGGAAGATGACTTGGAACTCCACTATCATGTCACCTAAACGGCTGGGCTCTTTCGAAAACGGAAGACCTTGGCCCGCAACACGGCGGATTGTTCCGGGCTTTGTAATTCCATTCAATGTCATATTAAAATGACCTTCATCAATTGTCGGTATTTGAATTGTACCACCACAAAGTGCTTGTTTTAAACTAATTTTGGCGATATAACGTACATCATTGCCTTCACGTTTGAAATGTTTATGAGTCCGATCCTTAACGACAAAAACTACGTCTGCAGGGATGTTGCCCCTAACACTTTCATCACCCTCACGAGGAAATGTAATCTTGGTACCAGCTTTCCAACCTTTCTTGACTTCAATTTCGACTGTCTTATCCTCTTGACGAGTTGTCTGTCGATCAGGATTCAAACGAGCTCTTGTAATGCGAATTTTCTTGGTTGTTCCATGCAATACATCTTGGAGAGAAACAGACAAATCGTGATATACAGGGAGATCCTGTTGAGGCCTTCGACCAACGTTTGCATGTATATTTCCACCTTCAAACAAGTGCTAATGGGAAAAAAAACAAGAAAAAAAAGTGAACTACGTAGAATTTGTCAAGGAATCTTTATACTTTTACTTCATTCTTTCACAATCCATTTTAAATAATAAATTTTTTTAAAATTTTAATTTCGACAACCTCAATTTTACAGTCCTTATTACAAGATACCCTGAAAATATACCCCTAATTACTCTCCTTAAATATGAAAGAAAATGTTAAAAATAATGACCTCTCATGCCTTGAAGTTTTCTAACGACTTAAAGAGAAATGGAACCTTTGAAAAGTATCATATGAAGAGCGTGTGAAGCATGCAAGAAGTGTCAATTATTATTTTAAACTTTTTGTCTTCATTACTGAACAACTGAGGTGAAGAAACAAAACTATTAGGACGTATTTATTATATACGAGTGATTAGATTACCGAATGAAGTCACCTTGACGTCAAGATGGTTATAGAATTCAAAATGAAAAGAACAGTAAGAATGATAGTAATTAGGAGGAAATAGAAACATGTGAAAAATAGAAAAGAAACCCCACATTCTCAAAAAAACAACAGTTGGCATACTTCTATAGTACTTCACTGGCAAAATAATATATTAAAAGTAGCTTATAAATGCTACAGGAAGAACATTTCTCCAGAAGGCTAAAATACTTTAGATTATTGAAAAGTGAGGCTAATACCATTTCCACGTAACCCAAGATTACTGAATACCATAGCACTGCAGTTCATCTGCAGTTTTAAGATAAGCATGGGAAACTTCAACGCACAAAGGCATAAAAAAACATACGAACATGAATTAGATGTGAGAATTCAATATATAACTACCTATGCATAGAACACGTGAAGTGACAGTACAACTGAATAAACTTTCAAGGGATGTACACTCCTAGTATATTAACGAATTAAAGAAGTACAGACGGGCTCTTAACTAATATGGATATATTCTACAATTACTTCCTCACAGGTGTACTACTAGAATAATTTTACTAATTTTATTGATTCTGAAAGACGTTAACTTTAAAAAATATAACACTAATAAGCTTCTGTGTATTAATCTTTGAATTTTCTTTACTATGATTATGACGACCTACATTAATTATAAGAAATGAGTTTATCGTCGATCACCAATGACAGGTTATTCAACTTTTTAACGGAAACAAATTCTTGGAACTGTAAACACTAAATTACATAAATTCATATCCTTCTAAGGAAATCAAACAAAGTCGCTGATTTGACCGAAATTGCCAAGCCCTGATGATAATTCAAACCAGAAACAAATTCAATAATGAAATCTTGATAATTCCAAAAAATGTCGTAAATATAATATAGTCTCCTGACTGACTGGTTTCAATGTAGAACTTTGCACAGATGTGCAACAGTTCGAGTTGCCACACTTCATGTAGCACACAAAGCAAGAGAAGAAAGTAAAACGAGATTCAAAACAGGGACAGTAAACGGACATATAAGGTGGAAAGAATAGTAATATCGAAGAACAATATAGTTTTATTAGATATAAGTCACAAGGAGTGGATGCATCTGCGCCATTGAGAACAATTTTGAGCCATATCACCAATTGTCTCCAGCCATTGGTGTTTACCATCCCGAGGATCCCAACCTGGAAGTCTACACCTCCCTACGTGGTCGGCTTAAACTTACTGCCGTGGATTTCATTGAATGATGTAGCCATGTTTTGGTTTGACCACCACTGGTTCTTTTTCAACTTGGTCCTATGTCAGCTAACATTGCTCGTCGAGGAAGGCGACAGCTAGGCATATGTAACACATGTTCTAACCATCTCAGTCGATGTAATTTCACAGCCTCACCTATTGATTCCCCCTCCTTACCTAGCACTCGACCGATGCCTAACCTCAATATTGCTCACCTTATTATACCACTTCACACGGGAGATAGTACGCCGGCGCCTTTGATCAAAGACAGCTAGCCTTTTCATGTCTTCCACTCTTAATGGCCATGTCTCACAGCTAGCCATAAAGGAGGGCGGAGCGGACTGCTGGGGAATACACACGTCCTTTGATCGATAAGCAGCCGGATATTACGTCTACGCCAGAGATGGCGCAAACTAACATGTGCGAAACGAGCCTTCTGTGTCCGTGCGGAGATTTCGTCAGCGATCAACCCGCTGGGGTTGATTCAACTTCCAAATTAAGTGAAGTAGTCAACGCGCTCTACCACTTCATTCTCTATCTTTAAGCTAGGAGTCAATGTAGTCCAGTCCTGTAGCGTCATCTTACACTTAACAGGAGCGAATCACATGCCAAACATTCGAAGATTGCTGCTCAAGGTGTTCAGAAGACTCTGCATTTTGTCAGCGTCTTCACCTAAGAGGGAGGACTATATCATCTGCATATTCTAAGTCAACGAGATTATTCCCTGGTAACAAGCCAATCCCTGAGTCGCTGAAATCACTTAGGGTTAAGTCCATTAGTACATCTATGATGAAATTGAATAGAAATGGGGAAAGTGCGCATCCCTGACGGACACCACTAGTTGTCACCACTTCAGATGACAACTCGCCGTAAGCTCTTACCTGGCTGCATGAGTTCGAGTAGAGTCCTCTACTACACCTATGTCTATTCCCCATACTTAAAAGCCATGTAATACGCATTTGAGTCTCTAGACTGATGCACCATTTGCAGACCATCATGTGTACTCGGAATCTCACGTATTTCGGAATTCGTGAGCGTAGATCTGTATCGTGTAAGTAGACGTAAATTACGTAAAATAGCTGAAAACCAACTGCTGGATCTCTTGATAAGATCATTCAAACTCGTCAAGATGTACTCACTCCAAATACCAAACTCTCAAAAGCTTCAACGGTATTCGTTCAGTTCTTTTCTATCGCATTCCCCTATTACTCTTCCATATTTTGAGTGAGTTAGGAAGTGTGGTTAGTAGGAATGATGCACTCCTACGTTTAGTTGAACGTTAACCTATAAATCAGCCACCTCAGAGTTATTACGCAATAAACAGGAGCCAACTACTTCTAATTCTGGCTATCGAATTTAAACTTCAAATATCGGAATGACAATGAGTGTTATTCAATACTGTTAATCACTGAGACAGTGCCTATGTAGCCACAGCTATTGTTTGTTTGAACTTACCCTGGACAGATATTTCATGTGCCAGCCTGAGATTAAGACAAGCATGGTGTAAATCATTAGTGACATCAAATGTTTGTTAGGTAGCCTAGATAAATTACAGAAAGTAAATTAACTGATGAACATCAACTGTTGACGTAGTTGTTGCATTTTTGTAAATGGAAAGCGTGGATAGCTATCGGACCTAAATTTTGGTACAAATTTAGAACTATTCTCCTCTTTAGGTATTGACTCACCAGTATTATATACACTGTTGGAGCAACCAGAGCTATTCGCTTTAAATCTTTAGAATTAGGTCTCTCTTTAGAAACCCAATGTTATCACCGCTGTTATTTAACGTAATCTGTACATTTCGGAGTCTCCCCGGAAGATCAGTGTTTTCCAGCGTGACTTCTTTCTGTACCAAGCATTGGCAATTCCTTGTAATTTTAACACTCCGTCTAACCTAGACTTAGATTTATTCTCGACTGGGAGCATGATTCGCAATGTACGAAGGATAAAATCCCGGTCATGTCCACCTCAGCATGCATTTATTCTTTCACATGCTTCTGTGAAGCCTATTTTAGTGGACGTAGTAGGCGGAAACATATATGTGAAAATTAACCAGCTTTGTTGACGAAAGACAAAAACAATGTCACTTGCTGATAGACATTTTTCACCAGTTAGGTCATTTAGCCTCTAGAAGGCAAAATCTAGACATCCTGAAAGTCTACCTCTTTTAATTCATCCCGATTTTCTTTGCTGAATGAAACACTTTTGAGAACTTTCATATGTATATTGACTGAGCAATTTCAGTGCCACTGCCTTTTTCCAAAATGTGAATAAGACTGTGCACCTCAAAAGTGAAGCAGCTAGAAAAAATCCTTTTCGTTTAACCAATATTCTGTAGACGATACCTGAAGTTATAAACCTGATAAGTGGTTATGTAAGCATTGTATCCCACCTACTAAAGGTATTGCAGATTACTTACACCCTTACTCTGATATGCAAATACCGGGTTCTACAAGTAAGGGTTTGCACTCTAGTCCTAGATAATTGACCGATTTATGTCGAACTTCGCACAAATATGTAAATGGAAATAGTGACATGTAAAGAAACTGACAATAATGCGACACAAAATATTATGTAAATGTGATGGATAAAAATTTCCGCACATATGGTATGTAGAAATGATTGGATATAGCATGGAAGATTTCGATAATGAACCCAGATGGCTAAGCAATATGTAACCAAGAAACACAAGAAACAAAGTTAACCAGATTTCCGAATTATTCAGACTATAAATAACTAGATTAATAAGTTTGGTGACTTCAAAATTTCGTGTACCCTATATATCGTGTTCCGAATTTTCGTACATCACCTGTGGAAGCTGCAATTACAGGTATGTGTACCCTGTAGAAAAATCTGACTTTGAATATAACTCTTAATTTCGAGGTGCCTACCAAGTTTTAAACGAAGAGTCAATTCAAAACACCTAATATGATCAAAACATACAACAACGAACTATCTAAAGTTAGACTATAGTCTTAGTTTGTGTAGAACAAAGTCCAAAGTAGTGATATTAGTCTTGATCGCTATTTTATTTAAAGATTGAAACTGTCACAGAATTAAAGAGCGAAAGACGCAGTCAAAATTAACTGCTACACTACTTTATTTTACATTTACTAACTAGTGTCAATTAGCATCAATATGAACTCACGAAAAAATTTAAGGAACTTACTCCGAACGGAGAGCCACCAAATAAGTCATCTATGTTCATAGGTTCACCAGCAGTATGTCTTCCACCAGAAGACATGAAAATCCCTGAAAAAGGATCATCTGTGCCAAAGAACATTCTGAATGTTTCTCGTGGATCACCATGATAGGAGTAAGTGAAACCTTGTCCACCTTCACTTGACGTTGGTCCTGCTTTCAAGCCTTCCTCACCAAGTTTGTCATATATTTCTTTCTTTTTAGGATCCGATAAGACCTTACAGCAATCACTAAGCAACTGAAACCACCTACATCATAAGCCTCTGCTATCTCCTTAAATTTTTCTTCAGCGTTTGGAGACTTGTTTTTATCTGGATGATATTTTAGGGCAAGTTTGCGATACGCTTTCTTTATCTCATCGTCAGGTGCTCCCTTGCTTAACCCAAGGATCTTATAATAATCTTTTCCCATCACAGCCTGTTCACGAAGTTTCTAAATCCGCAGTGGCCTTGAGGACGGAGTGTATAAACAAACCGCACATACTTCCTTTGACTGCATTCAACATTACACTTTCTGCTATGAAATATAGTCCCTCTCAATTTGCACATCCAGTTTTCTGGGCTTATCATATCTGTTATGTAACTTTGCATCTATGCGGCTAACATAAAGTCACATACAGTTTCATGTCCTTGTAGTGAACATTGAACCTTTGAACTTTTGTTTGAACTCACTCTAACTCTTACATCCTAAACACATTTGTAAATTGCCGAAATATTGTATTTTCTACACGTACTTAAGGATGTGAGGCTAAGTAACTAACTCGGTAAATGGCAACACTGAAAATCAAAATTTTTGAGGATTCGGATGGCAGTCTATTCCAAAGAGACCGATTTTGGCCGTTAGAGATGCATAACCATTGGTAAAGTCGTAGGGCATTCAAAAGCAACTTCACACGAGCCTTCAGAACTTCATTTACATTCATCAGCAACTTCCCAAACATAAACACACCTAAGTGCATGTCAAATTCATTTATGAACCAGCAGGTATTCTAGGTCCATTAAAGTTCTGTTCGCTAAGGAATTTTAGTTACCACTTGATCACAAAACTCAGAGTTATATCTCTTTTGGTAACAGATGCTGATGTATAAAAGCATTATCATTGTGAATTTCATTGATAACCAGGCCCTTTATGCATACTCAAGACATAAACCTATGATTACTGTGTTTTAAATGCCGCCACGCCAATAGATTGTGTTGTCATCCATCCCCTTATTCCACTCCATGCATAGCATTTGGCTTAATCACGCTCTCTCCGAACTTATGGAAAGCGTTACGTGTTGAAAATGAAAATGCAGTTTGGTATGAACTTTTGCATGAACATTTCGATGGCTGTCTTTTAAATGGAATGTTTGTTCATATAAAGTGCACAGTTTCTCACGAATACGGCTTCTAATGTGCCTATGATGTGATGTGAAAGAAACCCTCCAGTTTGGTAACAAGACAATGAATGTGATGTGAACGTACTAACCAGGTGACCTCATGTTTAATAGGTTATCGACTCTTCGAAAAGGAAAAACTAGTGACACATTGGAAATCCTCCAGATACTAAAGCATCCGGTTATTTTACATGAGAGTTTGATGCTTATTCATTGACGGACAAATCATCTTGTCCCGACCTCTGGTAGAACTCATTGTTGTAAGAGTTAAGACACCACTTATAACTCAACTAGTCTAGAAACACTTATGTATTTATGAAGTGAGACTGAAAATTTCGTTCCTCGAAAAGTACTACTAGATTTTTGCGAACCCCATTGCACTATGCCATGTATTGATGCTTAGAAGGGGTTCATGAGGATTTTTTATTTATTTTTTTTATTTTTGATTTACAGCTTGATTCCACACCGTATTTTCAGTACAAGTATGGAATTTTCAGCTTGGATATCGGTTAGCCCAAATTCAGGCCTACCATAGATATCGGGTGTGCGCCGGCAGGGGATCGAACCCCGGACCATGTGCATGGTCGGCGAGAGTCCTAACCACTGTGCCACCGACGCACGATGCTAAATGAGTCTGTTCAAATATCTGGATGATTAATGTTATAGACAGAATAGTACGAACCTGATAGAAATAGCAAGATGGCGGTCGGAAAAATTATGGGTTTGCTGAAAATTCAGACATTTGACCTGTGATATACTCCTGTTTCTTTACTGGCAGAAATAGAAGTTTCTTCGAGGATAATCGCATGCTTGAACGAGACAGAGCGTAGTGACTGCATTGTGTTAGGCTGGTGTGCTCTCCTAAGCTCTCAGTAGTCCCTTGCCTAAATATATCCTTGACTCATCTTTAGTATTGTATTCCCTCCTAAGTAGTTGTGTGGCGTTAAGGGCAGGTTTTCGATCGAATTGTGGGGGTCCATGTCAAGAAAGCGGCGACTTATAGGGCCAAAACTGGAAGCCACACAGTAAACATAGGAGTTATCTCTAGTTAGGACCTTCACGTGAACGAGGTTGTGGGCCTTAGCACATTGAGAACAAGAAGTCTTGTTGCCTGGCCCAAGTCAAATAGGTTATGTCATCACAGAGAGAGAATATATAGTTAAAGTTAAATATAATTCGTCTACTCTAAGTGTTATCATTAACAGTGTAGTACAGAGTACTTTTCTTATTATTATTGTTCCCTTGGGTTCCTAGTGGAACATAGGGCTTCAACTACACGCCTCCACTTGCTTCTGTCTTCTGCTGTACTTTACACTTGCATACATGTTAATCCATACTGTCTCAGTTCCTCTTCACACGATCTCCTCCATGTCACCCTTGGACGTCCCACTCGCCGCTTCCCTTTCGGGTTCCACTCGAGCGATGGCCTGACGCGCGATGTCACCCAGCGGCCTCCTCAGCGAGTGTCCAATCCATCTCCACTTTCTCCTGCATATTTGTTGAGCGATTGGTTCCTGATTTGTTTGTTCCCATAATTTCTTGTTTGTGATTCTTTCCGGCCATCTGATCTTCAGTATAGAACGAAGACAGTTGTTGAAAAAAGTTTGCAACCTTTTGAAAATATTCTTGGTGACCCGCCAAGTTTCTGATCTGTATAGCAAAACTGACTTGACGTTTGTATTGAAAATCCGAATTTTGTTGTTGATGCTGAGTGACGAAGATTTCCAGATTGGCTTCAGGTTGATGAATGTGTTTCTCACCTTCCCGATTCTCGATTTGACATCATCGTCCGTTCCCCGTGTAGTTGAGACAATGCTCCCTAGATAAGTGAATGAAGTAACCTCTTTCAACTCCCTCCCGTTGATGGTGATTGGCGCTGAATTTTGCTGCTGCTGTTGTTGTGGTTGGTTGGTTATTTTCATAAACTCCGTCTTGTCTATGTTCACCTGGAGTACTGTCTTTGCTGCTTCTTCGACCAGTTTGTCGGTTTCCGCTTGTAAGTCTTCGATTTTGTGTGACATCAAACACAAATCATCCACGCGAGAAATCTAGGTCTTCTAGGTTCTTCACGTCGGTCCAGGATATCCCTGTCTTCTCGTTTCCCACTGTCTGACGCATAATCCAGTCCACCACAATTAGGAATATCATTGGTGATAATAAGCACCCTTGCCTGACTCTTGTGTTTACTCGAAATGCCTCACTGAGTTTTCCGTTGTGGATCACTTGACATGTGCCGTTGTCGTACAGCTGTTGAATAAGGTTGATGAATATTTGGGGTACGCCATAGTACTTGAGTAGTTTCCAAATTACTTCGCGGTCAACGCTGTCGAAGGCCTTCTCAAAGTCTATAAAGTTGAGGTAGAGGTTTGATTGCCACTCCATGCTTTGTCCGATGATAATGCGTAGAGTTGCAATTTGGTCAGAACATGATTTACCTTTCCTGAATCCAGCTTGTTCTGGTCGGAATTCTGCATCCAGTGCGTCCTTTATTCTCTCCAGGATGATGCGACTCAGAATTTTACTTGGCGTCGACAGGAGCATAACTCCTCACCAGTTCTTGCAGAGTCCTAAGTCGCCCTTCTTTGGCAGTTTCACGAGGTAACCTTTTCTCCGGTCAGTAGGCACCTTTCCCTCCTTCCAGACCTTTTGCAATAATCGATTCAGGATATCTGCTGTCGTCTCTGGGTCCGCTTTCAGTGCTCCCGGGGGTATTCCATCTGGTCCGGATGCTTTTCCAGCTTTCAGAAGCTTGATTGCATTCATGACTTCAGCTTTCGTTGGAGGACTGGTATCAACTTGCAGTTGTGTACGTGCTGTTGTTGGTATTTCTGGACGGGTTGTAGGTGGTGGTCGGTTCAAGAGTCCTTTGAAGTGATCCGCCCATTGTTTAATCTGTCTTTCTTCTTTGGTAATTGGGTTCCCCTGGCTGTCTTTTATAGGTTTCACTTGTGTCGATCTCTTCCTGGATAAAGACTTGGTTATCTGATATAGTGTCCTCAGGTCCCTTTTGCCTGCTGCCTCCTCAGCTTCAGTAGCCAGGTTGTCGTAGAATTGTCTTTTGTCCTTCCTGGCACTCTTCTTCACTTCTTTGTCCAGTGCTGTGTAAGTTGAGCTCAGCGTCTCTTTCTCTTGTCCATCTTTGCATTGAATCATTTTCTCTTTCACCATTCTCCTCTCCTCTATTAGCTTCCAAAGGGCCATTGTGAGCCATTCCTTGCCTTGTTTCTTCTTTCTTCCTAAAACCGTTGAACACGTTTCGTTGAAAATTACCTTCAGAGAGTTCCAATGGTCTTCCACGGATGATTCCTCAGTGGTGTCACGTAGTAGTGTTTCCTGCTTTGCTCTGACGGTTGCAGTGAAAATGTCCCTTGTGGTTGTGTCCTTCAGTTTGTGAGTGTTGAACTTGCATTGTGGCCTATCCCCAGGTATCCTCGAGGCTTTTGGCTTCACCCTGAATGTCCCTTGTACTAGATAGTGGTCTGAACCCACATCTGCTCCTCTCCTCCATCTTGTGTCCAGTTGGCTCCATCTCCACTTCCTTGAGATTGAAATGAAGTCTATCTGGTTTTTGGTGGGTCCATCCGGTGAAATCCATGTCGCCTTGTGTATATCCCTGTGTTTGAACACACTGTCACCAATCACCAAATCATTGAAGGCGCAGAAGTCTGAGAAGAGTTCACCATTGTCGTTCATTTCACCAAGGGCCTCACGACCCATGGTGAGTTCTCTTCCTGTCTCTTCATATCATCCATCAGGATTTTGATATCGCTCTTTGGGACGTTGTCCATTACTGTTTGTAGTTGACTGTAGAAATCCTCCTTCTTCTCTTGTTCTGAGACGTTTGTAGGCGCGTAGCACTGAATGATTGTAACCTTCTTTCCTTTTGAGTTGAACCTGGCTGTCATTATCCTGGAGGAGATTGGTTCCCACTGCAAGAGAGCTTTAGCCGCTATTGGTGAAATCATGATGGCTACTCCCTCGGTGTGCTCGTGATCGTCCTCTGGGTGACCGGAGTAGATTATTGTCTCTCCAGTTGGTAGTTGGCACCTTCCACATCCGTTCCATCTGCTCTCGCAGATTCCCAACACTTCTATTTTATATCTCCTCATTTCT